GTGCTTTTCTTTCTTACTCAAGGTCCAATTCTTCATGACGTCCCATCCTACGCGCGCTTCTCGGCCCTGAACTTTGGATCTGCCCGCATCGAAGACACAATCACGCCATTTGTTCAAAACAGCGAATGATTAAGGACGTTTTCCGGTCCATAGAAGACTGTTGGGACTGTGCTCAGCAGGAAGGAAGAGATGTTCTCCCGTCATCCGTCGAATCCGGAGAATCTCGCTTACCCTGTTGGTCAGATCGAATGAAGCGCTGCGCTTGCCGTACTCAAAATTCTACTCGGATGTCAATCATGGCTCATGTATGATCGTTCAACTCGAGCTTCCAGGGTTCAAAAGAACGAAAAGCTCTGTATGACAGATCCACGATCCAAGTTTTTGGGAAAACAATACTTCCTTGGGATGAAAGTCGTGCTGGACGATGCAGAGACCACAAGGCGGACGGCGTCGAAGCTTGCAAGACCAAAGTCGGCTGCAGGCCCCAAATCCGAGTCCATATCCCGTCTTTTGTGAGGAATCGGCCATACCCACTAGTCCAGCCCTCGTAGCTGGGTTGATTAAGTCACTTCATGCACGACTGAACAGCTGCTCGGTATTGAAGCAGAGTTATGGATGACGATGAACAGGTCGTGCTAGTGAATGTCTTTCACACCGAAGACTGGTCAGCCTAGAGACTTCCACTGGGGGAAACTGTCTTATTCATATATGAGGATGATTCGGCAACCATAGAGGTCCTCTGACAAAGTCCCATGGCCTTTTCTTCCCGGATGAAAGCACGAAATGCCGTTTGCTTCTTCTTAGACGAGCAAACACAACCTATCGGGTCTCTTACTGGAGACACCGCATCGACCTTCCCGTGAAGCATGATGGCAGGTCATTCTCTGTCAATATATTTGTTACAACATTGTCGATCACTGATGATATTGCTAGTATAGAAGGTAGAAAGGGGTATCTGAGATTGACTGAACGCTGAAAACCAACACGCAGCATGATGACTATGCGGAGTAAGGGGATCATCGCGGCTTCAAATGCAAGCTATTCATATGTATAGGGTTCTTCGCCCATCGTCGAAAGAAAGGCCTTTCATCGAACATATCAACATTTCAGATGGTTGTCAGCGTATCAAAGAAAGATTGAGATTCCTAGATAACTTCAGACCAGTCCTTAATTTGGCTGTGAGAGAGCAAAGTGTTAGCATAAGCGAAATCAGATTGTGGCCATCAGGAGAGTATCTTTGGGGGTTGCCTGGTGACTGTTTGATAGTATACTTAACTAGCCATGATGGAGCAGCCGTTCAACAGGAGCAAGTCGCCGCAAGGAATAAAAGTCAAGAGGTTCTCAAGAGAAGTTTTCCTAAAACGCAGACTTGTGTTGGAGAAGCCGATTGCCGTCCCAAATGTCGAGTATGGTCTTTGAGATATCTGGTATAAAAACATGAACGCTTTGTTTCTGCTACTCTGCATGTCATCTGCTTAATGCTATACTTGAATGTGTTCTTTTGAAATGCGTATCGCAAGCCACCACAGCCACTCAATAACCGACATTCCTATGTCCGCGTATCAATTATCAAGCTTGGCTCCGGACTCAGATATATTGCTTTCTCTGCTGCGTACGTTTGATCCAGCTCATTCTTCAAGGCTGCTTGAGATAACCTGATGCCAAGATCCATACCCCTTCGAGCATGGTTGACCTCAAGCCGTTTTTCGCTCAGAGCCGCCCGCAGCGTGCACCCAACATGAGAGGTAAGACCCGCACGGCCTCGTCCAGAATAGGTTCACCGAGCTTGCAAACGTGCGAAGGATAAGAATCATGATCCTGAAAAAGCTCAGGTCTCCCTCACCCGTGACTGAGGGGCGAAGGTTTGCCGTAGAATTCCCACAGAATTGTTGTTGTTGTTGTTGTTGTTATATTTAACGCCGTGGCGGCAAGGGCGCAGCCGCCTTTGCGGCCAACCTCCCGAGGGGTATATGGCGTGGAGGGTCGCCGGCTCAAGCTATATACTCTACAGTACACGCCTCTTCCTAACGTCCTCCAAATCTTGCGCACCGTGGGCTACTATGTGTTCTATTCGTCCCTAGTTCCCGCTGGTTCCCTAGTTTCGTTGTGGTCTTCCGATCCTCTACGAGGAGGGGGTTGTTACTAAGGTCTAGGTTAAGACCTAGTCCCTAGTACCGCGGGCAGATCTTCTGGAAGAAGTCTGTCACGGAGAGAAAGGCCTGGAAGCCTTCATGATCAGTAATTAGCCCCTTATAGTACTGCTCAAGAGATCCTATAGGCCCTATAGGCTCCTGTGAACTAGAAGGGTGGAGGGTGGGCTACTGAAGCCGCCTCACTAAGGTCTTTCGGCAGTAGACTAGGTGGTCTACTGCCTTTGCCTCCCCGCAGGAGCAGGTAAGTAGTGCTTCTATATGGTTGAAGCGTTGGTGATATTGCTCGAAGTCTCTATGCCCTGAACGGGCTGCCAGGAGATGGTGAAGGATCGCCCGTGGCAGGGTCAGTTCAGGAGGGCAGGCGAGGGAAGCCTTTAGCCCTAGTTAGGTGTGGCAGGACGTTGCCTCTTGCTTCCACCATCTTCTATGCTGGCGGTATATACGCTCTCTAGCAAGCCGTTTAATCCCTGATAGGGTAGCTAGTTAGACCCTAGGGGCTGGCAGGGTTGTGCCCTCCTTAGCTAGGATGTCTGCTTCCTCGTTTCCTTTGATGCCCTGGTGCCCTAGGGACCAGTGGGTTTATATGTTGTATATCCTAACTGCCTCTTGGATCTCAAGGAAGGCAGCTTGTGAGGAGTCTGGGGCCATGCCTTAGATCCCCTGGATAACGCTGGTATTGTCGATACAGATATATATAGGCTGGCCCTAGGAGGTAAGGAGGGCCCGTCGGAGCCCTGCCCTCGCCCCTTCAGCCTCGCCATCAAATACTTCTGCTATTCTGAGGCGTCTGCAGCCCTAGGCTATACGTTTATTCTTACGGTAGATAACAAAGCTAAATCCTGTAGCGCTATCAGGGGCTTTAGAGCTATCTGAGTAGATAATAGTATGCTCTTTTAGCACCATCTTAAGCTAGGCCTGGAAGATCCTAGCTGCTACTTCCTTCGTCTGTGTAACTATAAGGTTATAGGACCCTGGGAGGTATTGCGGCTGTAGAAGTGCTAGCCTTAGGCACTTAGGTAAGAGGCCAGCTGTCCTTTGGAGCCTGGTCTGCTGCCGCCCTGGCTGTAGAAGCCTTGGGACCAAGGGATGTTATTGGTCAACCTTCTGTAGGCGTGTAGCGAAGCGTAGTTGCGCTGCCTCGAGAGCTACCTCTGCTGTAGGTAGGCCAGCATCTCAGATGAGGGCACTGGTTGGTGTGGTCCTCCAGACAGGTAGGATAGCCCTTGCTGCTGCTGTAATAACTCTTCCGACTCTACAGGCTAGACCCTTCTGCCCTGTGCTAACTATAGCTATCTGTGAAGCAGTATTGCTACTAGTACTGTTGTTGCTGCTTAGAGCTGGCTTAGTCAGGCCTGCATACCAGGTTTCCGCTCCATATAAGGCTATCGGGAGGGCGCAAGCAATAGCTGCTTTTTGGACTGCAGCTGCTGGGAGCCCCCCTTTTGTGTTTATAAGGTGCTGTAGGAAATAGGCTACCTTCTTTGCTGCTGCTACCTTTATTCCTACATGGTGTTAGAAGGTGAGTCTTTTGTCAAACCAGACCCCTAACCATCTTATAGGCTTTGTTGAGGCTTTAATAGTCAGGCCTCTCGCTTGGATATCAGGTAGGTTTGTTGTCTGTTTATATTTTCTGCCGAAGTGGATTGCCTCACACTTAGCTAGGTCAAAGGCGACCTTATTTTCTGTTCCCCAGCTGAGGATACTAGTGATCTCCTAGCCTAGGGCTGTAGCGTTCTCTTCTAGCGAGGGGCTAGTAGCTACTAAGCCTATATCATCTGCATAGCTAAATCATAGCTTCTGATTATCAGCTAGGATATCAGCTATATAGAGCAGGAAGAGGATAGGTAACAGCAGAGAGCCTTATGGTAGTCTATAGGATAGAGGGAAGTCCTCTGTAGTAGTATCCTCTAGCCTGACCTGGACTGTTCGGCTAGAGGTGAAGGTGTAGATCAGCTTGATCAGGCTGCTTGGCCAGCCCTACTGCCGTAGCCTGATAATAAGTCGGTTTCATAGGATGGAATCAAACGCCCCCTTGACGTCCATTGTTGCTAGCGTCGCAGTAAGCCCTATATCTAGAGCCCTCTCGATCTCATGGGTTAGACAGGTTGTCAGGTCGACTGCAGCCCTCCCTGGTAAGGCTCCAACCTGCTGTGGGCTGGCGACCCCTTCTAGGATGGTAAGGTAGGCCATCCTTTTTGCTATCAACCGTTCTAAGCCTTTGCCTAAGCAGGATAATAGAGATATCAGGCGCCAGGACCCAGTCTTAGAGAAGTCTGTTTTCCCTGGTTTCTGGATCATAACAACCTCCGCTTTGCAGAAGGGTCTAGGGAAGTAGCCTACCTATACGCAGGCCTGGAAGAGCTGCTGTATAGGCCTAGCTACTAAACCCCAGGTGCATTATAGTAACTTTGTAGTAATCCTATCAGTCCTAGGGGTTGTAGTCTTTGTTAGAGTAGCCTGGCGTACTTCCTCTATACTAACTGTATCCTGCTAGGGTATAAGACGCCTTGTGACCACTAGGATAGCAAAAGGGTTCCCAGGTAGGTCATCTCTAGCGCTAAACCGTTCGAGTAAGGCCTTTCATAAGGCTTAGGCTTTGTCGTAGGTGTTGCTGATCGTCTCTCCTTCTACTATTAGAGGCGGAGCTTTAACTGCTAGGCTTGACTTCCGCCAGCCTATGATCTTATATAGATCTTGGTCTGTCTTAGCCTCTTCAACCTTAGTAGTCCAGTAGGCGCGTTTTGCCCTTCTAACGGTTGTTAAGAAGACCTTTTGTTCCTCTAGGATAGGGGGAGGTATGACCAGCCCAGGTTCTTAGGCCTGTTGGCGCCTAGCCTTAATAGCAGCTTAGTGGGCTACTGAGCATTCTTCTGTCCACCAAGGGGCTCCCCTACCCTGATTAGTCCGTCTCTTGCCTACAGCTTGAATAGCTGTATAGAAGAGGCTGACCAGTTGGGCAGCTAGGGTGTCTAGCTCTGCTGGGCTGGGCAGTTCCCCTAGAGTAGGTAAGGCTGTAGCCCCAGCCTTTACTAGGTCGATCAGCCGTGGTAGGGCTGACTCTGGTACTGAGAGCTGGTTAGCCTAGCGCCCCTGTTCCTAGGCCCTACTCATAGGAATAATTGTTGTGATAGCTTCATGGTCAGCCCCTAGGTGTAGGTGTGGGCTGATATAAGCCTCAGTAAAGGGGATATTTGAGAGGGTTAGGTCGAGGGTATGCCTGTGGGTATAGGTAGGGGCCCCAACCTCCCCAATAAACAGAAGATCGTCGCCTTCCGCCTATTCTGCAATATCGTCTCCTCGATTTCGGCTAGGGGACCCAGGTTCCCATGAGGAGTGGTGGGCGTTAAGGTCCCCAGCAATAAGGGCTCTCTCTGGCGGTTAGTAATCTAGAAGGAGGCTGGTTGCTTAGTTTATAGGCTCATCTGGCGGCCTATATATAATCATAATAGTGAGGTCGCTAACTTTCACCTATAAGATATCTCTTGATTAGGTAGACCTTTGTTGCTGTATTTACAGCCTTAGACCTTTGCGTGTGTAGGTCATAACCCTAGGCCTTATGTCTCTGCTGTTCCAGAAGTCAACTGGTACGTAGGAGTTGAAGCCTGGGTGTGTGTTAATCTGCATCTTATCTCTATAGCCTATCCAGGGTTCCTGGATCAGGACTATATCGATCTGATCTGCCCAGCAGAGCTCTAGAAGAGCTGTATGAGCTGGGCTTCTCTTCCCCACGTTACACTGGGCGACCTGTAATACCTGTGGGGTAGCTATTCTGAGCCTACTGCTCTAAGTCGAGGTTGAGGTGTGTGTAGGCATTAGTCATATTATAATCAGGCTTCTGAGCTACCCTCTGGGCCCTGCTGCTTAGCCTAGGAGGGGTATACTGGGTAGGTAGTAGTGGTAGGTCAGGGTTGTTATTGATATAGACGTCTGCCTCAGCCTCATTCTCATCCTCATCCATACTACTAGAGCTTGCCGTATCGCTAGCGTCTGCTACGGTAATTGAATCCTAGGCAGGGGTAGGGGCGTGTGGTCGCTTTGAGCTGGGCTGGTGGCGTGTTAGGTCTCCGCTGGACCGCTGGTGGTTGTCAGTAGCTTGAGTGCTAGCCTGGCTGTTCTGATAGAGGGCCTCATAAGCCTTCTGTCCAGCCTTATGGATCTGAGAGAGTTCCTTCCGACCTGGGAGGGTAGGGGAGCTGTTAACCACTAGGGGCCTTGCCGGGCAGCCTTTGTGGTTGGCTTGGAAGGGGCTGGCGCAGTTTGCGCACTTCAGTCTGGCTATGCAGGGCCAAGTCTCGTGGGAGCCTGAGGGTCTGCTGCAGTTGCCACAAAGTGGCTGCTGGTTACAATATCAGTTCGAGTGATATCCCTAGCAACCAGGGTCATATCGGGCGATAGTCTTTTTCTTCTGGATAAGCTGAGACCTGCTGCTTTAGTTGAAGAGTCTGAAGGGTAATACTTCTGCAGAGAAGGAGATAATCTAAGAGACTTCGTTTGTGATAGGATTTACGCCAAATTAGGATTAGTAGGCCTAGATAGGCTTACATCCTATCTGTGCAAAGACCTCCTCTTCAACTAGAGTAGCTAGGTCGAGGGCATCCCTATCGATAGTCCATAGCTTAGCAGGGCAGCGTGGGACAACATAGGTGAACCACTTAGTAGGGGTCTTAACCCTATAGGCTCTAAGACTGTCTGCCAGTTTCTGTTTGTCCGTAAGGAGGGCTTGCTGAACCTGCTTATTCAGGGGTCTCAGTAAGTAGCCAGTTGCAATGTGGTAGATATATAGGATATCTGCTAGCTGCAGGCCAAGGGCCTGGCAGACCTTCTGGTGGAGGGCAAAAGGGGCGTGCTTCCTCGCAGCCGTTAGGCCCTCCTCGGGGATGCAGGCAAAGACCTGGAGGTCCTTCTTTGGCTGGGCTAGAGTCTGAGTCTGAGCCTGGGGATAGATTGGGTTTTAGGTGCAGGCTGGGGCTTAGGCTGGGGCTGCAGCTGCAGATTCAGCCGAAGCTACCACCTTAGCCTAATTCCAGCTCGGGGTCGGGGCCGCCGTTCTGTTCCCCATGATCCTTTTCAAGGCTTGAACTACGTAGGTTGTAGCCTCCTTCGCAATCTGCTTCCTAGGCCCCTCAAAGCAAGAGACCACGTTATCTACAGACTGGGCGATAGCCATAAAGACATCCTTTTGGGCTTCGTAGAGCTTAGCCTCTTCACTAAGGGCTGTAAGGACAGCTCCAGCAGCTGTCCCATTCACAGTTGAGGGCCCCTTAGCCGTTAAGGGGGTTGTCGTAGAGGCGTCAGGCTGGCTTCCCACGAGGCTGAGCCGGGCTAGCTGGGCCTCAGTATCGCAGCGGCGTTTAGCCCTTGAGGTTGGGGACGGCTCCAGAGGGGCTCCAGAGCCTCGATCAGGGCCGGTCGAGGAGGCCGGCATCGGTCCAGAGCCTGCCGGAGGCTGCGAGGCCATCGCGGGAGGGCGCTGGAGGCGAGAATTGAAGGGTTTTCCGCTGTTAAGAACTTTGGTGGTATCCCACGTATTACACTAACAGTGGATGCCAAGAAAATTTAGGCGAGAGGGAAGTTGTTCCCACAGAATTGCGTGTCGTACATTTTGAGAATCAAGTAGTATTCATTTATTCTCTTTTTTCTCGGCTCCGCAACGATCGTTCTGCGGATTTAGCATACAGTTATGCAGGCGTTCATTTCGTTAAGATCTACAATTCAGAGGGAACATATGTGCCGAAAAATCAATCACTTTCATTAGTTTCCAGTGCATGATTAGCACTGCTTGGTGTGAGTAAGGCGTTAAAACCATAAAAGTCTTCCACGAGAATCACAAGCCACAGTACGTCCATCGTCAGGCAATTGTAGCCCCCGGCGGTCCTGGTGAGCATGACTTTTACTCCATGCTCGAAATCGGTGGTAAAATCAAGATATTTGTGGCGTCAATGCAGTAACGCAGGCCTGACCCGTACGATCACTCATTAGGGGTGTTTTATCAAAGGTCGTTAGTGGGCTATATAGCTTTTAGTGTGACACCAACACTTGTGTTCCTTTGGCTTGGCGTTCAGCACGATGGAAATGAATGCCGAAGATGCCCAGTCAAGAACTTAGGAGCATTACGTACTTTGAAAACTGGATCAACGGAATGCGGTCGCTCAATCGTAAGACAACATCATCATCAACTCGATCTGATGAGGGCATTTGTCTGTGCCGGCCAGTTCACCTCAGACTTTGCAAAGACGAAAACTTGATGCAGAGATAATGACAAGGCCTGGTGTGAAGTTATCTAGCCATTGCCGCTGACAAAGACAGACTAGGGTGGCCCATCTTCCGTGGCAAGGCTCCGAACATGTATCGATGTGGTCAGCCCAGCGAGGAGGCCGAGACTCATTTGGCGGCCAACCCGGCAATGAAGTTGGCTTTCTTTGCATGTCTAATATCACAAGCAAAAATGAGGCGGCCAAGTGGCTGGCTCCCTGCGCCGTCCCCTACAGAAAGAAATCGGCCCTCCATTCCCGTTGTGGACAGGCTTGTCCTTCATCGCTACTCGATGCGGGGCCTTTGTTTTTGCCTCCGATCCCAACGTCGTTCAAAGCCCATGCAAAGATTTGTCGCAAATGTGCGCCAGTATCCCCACGGCCGTAGTCACCAGTCGTCTTGCGGGCGCTACAGACTCAACAGACACATCTCCTGCCCCGCCTCATGGTCCATTGGACATTGGGCAGAATTATACCCGCATGACGGTATTTCTCACGACCCAAACTCCGGGGATTTGCTACTCTTTTATGCATGCGTGTCAGACTTGATTTGATGTCCCCGTCAATATCTGCAAAAACATGCAGTCTAACTCAACTTACTCAATTTTCAACAGCTTGGTTCACCAAAAGTCGCAAGCTGGACCCAATGTTCAAAAGAATCCACGTATCTCCAGAACCCAGGCGGAAGTACCGCTTCAACTATTTTTTGAGTCCCAGAAGTTTGCGCAAACCGACGATGTAACGGTCGGGCCTGTGACAGCCGTGGTGAGGATTATTCTCGCTGCATTCCGCCGTTTCTCTTGTCAGGCCTCGCTCTGTCCGTACTCAGATCGCTCGGGCAAAAACATAGATGGTCTCCACTACGTCTGCAACACCTTGCTCGAATATCTTGTCACATGCGGCAAAGTACAGGTATTTCTTTCGCCGGCACCATTATTCCAAGTCCCAAGATCTGCCTCCACGAGGGCAGTGACATAGAGTATTCTTCTGCTTCCCGTGGGAGCACAAGAACCACAATTTTCCTCTAGGTTGAGTCAACGGTGGAGGCCCCGATTGGTCGGCATGGGAGCCTTCTTCGACCCTTGCCGTGGAACTCTCTCGTTTGGTTTGGCCAGAAATTGGTAGAGTCCATATTGCGGCAAAGTTGGGAGTTCTAACAGAGGCTTCATGTCAGTTTGATATGATTGGTCCCTTCCAGAAGGGGCAAGCTACGATGTAGTGTACCAGCAGCTCCGGGGTCAATTGCCCACTCCCATGTAATTTTGCCCCTCACCAGGACAATTCCAATAGCATCGCCAGCACAGTGCTCGTCAATAACCCAATCTTGTTTTGATAGCAGCCGACCCGATTATTCCCGCCACCTGCCCAACATACGACTGGGACGTCGTCAAGCTGTCACGTTGTCTCAGCCGTCAAGTCATCCTAGGCCCACTACACCTTAGGAACAGCATCATTCAGACCGGTAGTACTGTTGAACTCAGCGAGCCGGGTTCACCTCCACGGCCACCCGCCAGACAATCTGTTGGATGGCACATTGTTGAGATCGCAGATTACTTGATGTGCCAACAAAGAATCAACTTTTCTCGGCGAAATTCCACAGAAACTTGTTGATGACCGTCTCTGCCTGTTCTCAGCCGCTCCTTAACCGCCTTCAACCGCGCCCAACTGCTTCCTACCATCCTCAATATTTCGCTGCTACATCTCATCCAAGCGGTCCTTGAGTTTTACTTGATTTCTCTTCACCGGTATCGGCCCATTCTTCGCCCACTCTGATCAATTACTGACCCCTCCCTGAAGTTAGTTGCTGGGCTCTCCACTAGTCTTCGGCGCTTTCAGCTTGTCCTATAACATGTTCCTTTGCGAGCTCGCGTAGACTGCAGGCTAAGCGGATCCGAATGGATGCAGAAGTAATATGAAGTAATATGAGAAAGACATCATTACTTTGTTCTGGAACGTACCAGCCGGGACTCTCAGAGTTGAAGAGCTTGTTCTGCACCGGTTCAATAAGTCGCCCATTCCGTCGCCAACGCGATTTCAGGCAATTGCTCATTGGAATTTTCATCTGGGACTCATGATGGTTATTGACTGTGATCTTCAGACCTCCTTGACAACTTATCTGGCTTGGCCCGAGCATGGCAAGGGGAGACTAGTATTGTCCGTCATCGCCTTGCCCATCCTCCTAACTTCCAAACCAACCACGCTTAGACAGACTCTTCTGGTGATAAGCCAGTCAATAGTAGCAGACCATGCATCTGAATGAAACTTGCCGTTATCAATGGCGTTGCCCGAATTGCTTAGCGTTGCGTAACTCCTCGAGCATTACGCCAAGCAGTTTTAGAGAAGGGAAGTACCGGACTTCGCGCGGGATTTCCAATCTTTACGAACGAGGGGTAGCCTGGCTAATCAGTTAGCCACGTCCCAACACGGTGCAGTTGCAAGGCTCAGGTTGTCGGCTCATGGAAAGATCTCCACGCATCAATGGGATCGTTATTTGGAAGACGCATCTTCCGGACGTCTACTTGTCAGTGAGAACGAGAGGAACACATACGGTATGGGCAGTATGGGCATGGTACACATAAGTCGCAATGTAGGTAATGAGCAGTATTTGGAAGCTTGAGGTGCAGTCCGAATCTAGCTTTCGACGAATGTTGCTGTAACTCGAAGCTATTCCGGACAATCATGATGTGCCTTTCTGAGCATTTGCCTTCAGTTTGGAATGGTTACTTGGTTCTCGCGAGTTAAACTCGAAAACATATGTTCTCTGATGGCTGCCTCTGTAGGGCCCCAATATGCATCTGATAGAGCCTTCGCTGAGCCTTGGCTGTCAAGGACAACACACACTAGGCCAGCTTTCACTTCTTTTGGATTATGATCCACCACTCCTGATGGGCCGGAAGGTGGCTGTTCCTGCGTGCGGCTTACCATTGACAGCAATATTGGGAACACCGATAACAATCCTGGCTCAGTAAAGGCTCATACCGGCAACCCCGGTATCAACGGCCCCGCCCGACTTGCAGGCAGTTTAAGATTTCGTTCCATACCAATGCACAACTTTAGGCATATATCATTCAGCTCTCTTTTAAAGCAACCTTTGTGGCGGCTGATTGGGTTATGTTTGAAGTTATCTACTGGACCATTTGATGATCGGCAAAGATCTTCCTTTCTGATAGGACACTATGCAATGCCGCACGTTTGTAGCAATAGTGAGCAAGATGTTCTAGCGCTAATTGGAAGTAAATGATACTCCTAGACCAAGATGTCCCCTATATTCTCGGTCGACGTCTTCACCGACTAGTGAATATCTTTTTGGAAATCAAGTGACGCCCATGGGGGTTTTCGAATCTGGAGCAAATCACAACCATCCATCCTGAGTTGATGAGACAACTGCGACAGATAGATATTAGTTTGAAGCTTTCTGAACATATAGATGCTGTTCTTGAATAGAAGTGACATTCCTTGGCTGGGTTTACAACTTGAAACACTATTTATCAACTTCCTCGACGCCATGCCATCCACTCTCTACATCCCATGAATGCTTTCTCTCACCGCTTGATATATGACTTATGTGTTTCTAGGTGGATCATTCAGCCCTGCTGGGTGTTGTGTGACTTGCAGACTCTTCAGCCTGTAGGTGCCGAAGCACTTGTAGAATTCCTGCTCATGTCTATCACTATCTTCACTTGGTCTTCGCTCGCTTGTTTCCCTGCTACGTTGTTCTTATCTGCAATTGATCTTTTTGGCCTGCCGACTCCCCGTATCTTGTTCTTTCCCTCAACATCAACGGTCTTGGTGAGATCCATTTTGCTTCGAGATCACCAATACCTCCCCTAGGGGCACGTACGAAAAGAACTTTGGGGTTTTATGATATATTGTTGGTCTACAGCCGCACTCTGAAGCCCGCTGGACGCAGAGCAGCTTTTCTGATGATATGCTCATGTAAGCTATGAGATCCTCGGTGGGCCGGTTGGCTGGTAGGAATGAAGCTTGACTGTTGAATTCATATCAAAATTTCCGCAAAAATATAATCTAAGTCGCAAGGAGTTTCGTTGGGTCGCAAAACACTTGTGTTTCAACGAATCTGTGAAATGGCTTGCTTCTGTGAAGATGGACCTCAACTGAGACATCGGCAGTCTTAGAATTAACTCGGCCTTGGGCGGTGTTGAGGGATGAGCTGGTTGAGGTAGTCTTCAACACAACAGGCGGCTTC